AAATTGAAACATTGAAAAAGCAATTATCCAATAAAGAACAAGAAATTACTGAATTAAAAAATCTAGAAGTAAGTGAAGAAGAGGAAGTTGAATTTAAGCAAGAAGCAACAGAAAGAATTCACCAAATATTGATAGAAATGAGGGAGAGATTTCCTCACTGTAGCAAGAATATTGAACAAGATTTAAGGGAATTGATTAGCAGACCATTAAGACAACAGTTTATGAATGTTTGTTTTCAAGATAGTTTGTATAGGAAATATTATAGAACATAACAAAAACCAAGAAAAAGTCATGTTAACAATTACTATGAATCTGAAAATGAAAAGCACCGGGAGCATCAAAGTGAAAAGAATGCTATTATTGATCAAATAAGAAGTGGAGAAAACTTCAGAGATAAACCTGCCAAAGGTACAATTCTTAAAGACATCATTGAAAGTAAAGTTGAAAGAGTTAAGGATTTAGAATCAAGGATAGAGGAATTGGAAGATGAGATGCAACAGAATGAGAAGAAATTAAGCAAGCCTTAATAGTTGGTGAAAAATGAAGTAAAAATCAAGCAGAAGATATAAAAGAAAAAAAACAAGAAACTCAAAAATGCTAGTGAAAAGATTTCTTATCTAGAAGCCCAAGTTGAAAAGTTAGAGGAAGAATCAAGTCAAAAGAACAAAAAAATAGAAAAACTATGCAAGCAATTAACTGATAGTGAATCACAAATGAAATTAAACAATAAACCTTTACCTTCATTACCTATAAAAGGAGAAAACAAGTTGTCTTCAATTAAACAGAGCATATTTAAGCAGTTAAAAAACAAAAGCAAAAGTTAAGATTCAAAAATTACAAAGGCTAATCAAAAAGGAAAAATTTCACAACTAAGAAATGATTACTCAAGTAGAGATTGAGTCTAAATAACAAGTAAAATTACAATGGGAGAACTGGAATACACAGTTTTAGAATTAGAAAAAAAAAGTAAAAAAATTTGTGATTTTTGCTCTAAATTTGAAAACAAAAATAATAAATCTGTTCACCAAATAAGATCTCATAGCAAAGTAACTGGGGAATGAATTTTAGATGACATGGTTTGTGAAAGGTGTGAAGAAAAGTATTGGAATGGCAAATTGTTAAAGTGCAATAGGCGTAGTAGATTGCAAACTAAGTGGGATTTTGACATTGTTAGTGATAAGAATGTTTGCTACTGCATTAGAAACAATGAAGACTTAGAAGAGAAGGAACTTCCACTCTTACCTGATGAAAAAATAAATCAGTCTGCTTTTTATGAAAGACAAATAAATTACCTACAAGAACAACTAAATGAGACTGAAGAAACATTGGAAATTGAAAGGGAAGAAGTAACCAAATTTCAAGAAAAGTCAGAGGAATGGAGTAAAAAACAGAAACAAGAACTTTTGGATAGAATTAAGCAATTAGAAACAGAGAATGGCAACTACAAAGAAGAAATTCAAAGATTAAAAGTTTAGTTAGAACAATTAACTTCTCAACAAGTTGCTCAAATTGAAGTTAAAGAACCCAAAAAATGACCTTGATCGAAAATAAGAAAGTATTTTAAAGAAGATTGAGAAAATATTTTCTTCTATATAAATGAAATTCATTCCAACTATCCTTTAGATGAAGTTAAAGAAAATATCCTGGCTTTCAATATCTTATTGATGATAATCCAATAATAATAAAAAAAGCAAATACAGTATTACTGATAAAAATAAGATTTACATTCTTCCTTATTCAAATAGAAACCTAACTACTACTCAAGATTATGACATCATTTTAGCACAAAGAGTTTTAGAAATATTTAACCAATAGTTTAATTACAATATAAAAGAGTTATTGGTTTATTAAATTAAGCTAATAATTAACTAAAAAAATAGGATTAATTTTATATGAATACCTGATAAATATCAGCACTTTCAATATTTACTAATAGGCTTTTAAACTATATGATAAAAATACTAAGAATATTATTAACTTATTGGTATGCTAATACCTTGATTATCTTTTTAAAGAATAATCAGATCCTGATATTTGCTGATACCCCATTACCCAATTTGGCATCATTCAACCAGTAAAAAGAACCAATGGATTATATATATAACCAAAGAAAGATTGGACCCTAAATTAGCACAAAGGATTTTAAATAATGCACAAACATAACAACTTGATAGCTTGATTGGCATAGTGATGCAGTCTTGCAATTTTTTTATTGTATATTTTAAATATAATTAATCATATGTCTTTAATAAAACAAACATGACTTAGCTATTTAATCACTTTCTTGCATATGATGCCTGCCTACCCAGATCTCTGGAGTTCACAAGAATAAATAAATAGGGAGGGTCAAAAAAAAGATTATAGCTCCCATTGTATAGATAGTTCCTTAAAAATCACAAATAAATCTGATGTTGATCACAGGCGTCAGATTTAATTAAATTTTCCTATCACAAGCATGCAAGACGTACAATTAAGTGCAATTCAGCACTATGGAATTTTTTTCCCACAGGTGAAGCGGACTTAAACATGTTTGAAGGCTTTGGACAAAACTTTCCCTTATTATCCCCTCAGACCAGGCTTGACTGTTACCATATTGGCATTGGTAATGATGAGGATCAGCATTTGTGTGATGATTGCTTTGTGTTATACCTCTCTCACTAAAATAAAGTTGGTGTCTGCAACTCTGCAACTCAGGAGTTTGCAACTTGGGTTGCTGTCTTGTTGGCAGCACGCCTCTCACCAACAACCCTATCCCATTTAAATTACAAGTTCAGTTGGTCAAACAAAAATTAAAGAAAAACATAGTATTTATGGGAATGTTTAATTTGAACAAAACATACCAAAATCTGAACCATTTTATGACTTTTTTCTTATTGGCCATATTGCTGACAAAGATGCATATAATCATGCAATAATTTTAACCTACAGGACAGAGGACTGATTGGACAAAAACCCACCCAGTGCCTTACCCAAAATTATAAATTGGTTAGTATCAGAGAAACAATTTAGGAAAATGATTATACAAACAAACACTATTTTACAACTTTCCTTCTAACATCAAAACCCAAATGCAATTTCAGAGTTACCAACCCTGCTCTGAATTGTAACCTCTTGTGCTTGAAATGAGTTGCAGATTCTTGTTGCTTTGATGTTTACATAGCACTACAATTCATCAACAGAATTGCGACTTGATCACAGAGCCATCCTTACCCTAGAGGTAGATCGTTACAGGCGACTTTTCAGCCAGCATGGCAGCAGCCTTCTCTGGTCTGGGAAGATTAGTGAAAGTGTCATTGACAATTGGTGCAGTCTCGGTAAACTCCAGGGCCATACACCCCCCCTGGAGTTCCGTTGCATCGTTGTATCATCGGAGAGCCATGGTCAGATTAGCCTTGTGTACACGAGGAATACGTGAGAATGACTGTAAAGTATTCAAGGCAGCGTGCGTGCTTCAACGCCTGTAAATTTCCGATAATCAAACGTTGCATATTCGAAATGTTTCATTTTCAACAGTCAATGCTGCCTTGATATCTTGTGATTATAATATTTATAATAATATTATTAATATTATTAACGATTACGAAAAGCAAAATATTATCAATGAAAACCTTGTAATTACCCAGCAAGATCTGCTCCTCGTTTTGATTCCAATTTAAATATTTATAATAACCAAAAAATATCAATGCAAATTAAAAAAAAGTACCTCTGGTTAGTTATTAACACGTATTCTTTAGGAGACCAAAACCAAACCAAACAACAACACTCACGTTTTGTCACCTTGGACTCTGTCAAAAAATAAATTG